ATCTTTATCTGACCCATCAGCTTTTCCATGTGTTGTGAGACCATCAGCCGCCCGCTCCCTATTACTTTCTCGTTCGGCCTCCTGACCTAACGATGCACTTACTAAGTTACTATGACTGAAACGGCAATGTTATTATAGCTCCTTGATACGCTTGTATTTGGACCGTCACATACACCTACAGCATCACTGGAAGAGGAAAAGCTTATTCCTGTCAGGGAGGAAGGTAGCTCAGCACTTGATTCACTTGAAAGACTCTCGATACTTCCACTTTTGGAAAAAATGCTTTCACCAGAGGTATGCACACGTCCTTCACTTGACTGAAAAAAAAATAATACTTACTGAGTGAAAAATCCGCTCTATTATCAGATTGGAATAGTCCTATGAAGTGTCGATAGCGATCAAAAATAATCTTGGTATTGCATATTGTGCTCTGTAATTGCAATATAAAACTTGCCCCTTTTCCTAACCTTCTCGCCTGCGCGATCATTCGTTTTATCTACGTTGAGTTCTTATTGGCTGTTTGGCATTTTAACATCCTACCCGGTTGGTTTAACGATAACATTTTCTTTTGATCTTCATAGAAAAAACCGGACTAGCGAAAAAAGTAACACTTACTCTGGCGGTTTCTACTTCAACATCAGATTCAGTGTCATCAGTCTCCTAAGGCTCTTTATTATTTTTAGTTTCTGAAGGTTCAAGAAAAGAACTCCTCCATAAACACAAACTTGTCGCCTCAGGGTCTCAATTCCATCCCCAAAATTTAAAAACATACGTCCTCGACAGCTTGCTGATGCAACATTTTTCCTTTCTTTACCGAGATGTGTATAAAGATGTAATAAACCACATTAAAAGATATGAGAGCGAGTCAGGAGTCCTGGATCGAGTACACGAGGTCAAGGTTCCCTTGGCAAATTTTGTGACGCGAAAAGCCTGACCTATCAAAACGAAAAACTTAGTATAAGTGTGCTAAAACTTAACTAGAATCAGAAAGGAGGTTACAGGATTTGAATCACAATATGAAAAACCCCCTAAATGGTAATTGACTTCATCGTCTTAGGGGCCTGGGTTCCAGGGCTGCAGCAAAAGTCTTTTCCAACTGAAAGTAGTAGTTTCTAAACAGCGTTAAAAAATTATTGAGTATGACTTTGCAGTTTTCTTAGCTCGACATGCCGGACCTGAAATGGTACTTTGAGTTTGCCCTTCAATTCCCGTCGTGTGAGATAAATTAGCTTTGCCTCCATTGTTTGATGTGCCTACGGCAACTACTGATTCTTCTGACCCCATGAAACGCTTTATCGTCCCCGTAAAAATGTC